TAGAATACATACCAAGGAATTTTTTCTTTTCTTCTAAAGTCAATTTATGTAAAGCCTCCCAAAACATCACTATGGTGTGATGCGATTTGCTGTACCCTTGGCAATACTGGGCATTCTAGAGAAAAAGGCAAAAAAAAAAATTATTTAGGAATGTCCAAACCCCCAAACCCACCGACACTGAGCTGATACCCACTCACAGCGACCCAGCTACGGTTTCTAAAACTGTAAAATACTTCCTCTGTCGTCTGCTAGTTTGAGATGAACTAAAGACTCCAAGGCTATTTCAGTTTTCTTTTTCATCTTTTTCTTTTTCTTTTTTTTTTAAAGCTACTTAAACCACTATTTAGGTTTGAGGGCTAAGGAATCCGGAGGTTTTTTGGGGGTGGGTGAGGGGTAGTTAAGGAAACATATATATTTACACAGCCCATCTCAAGAGATGAAACAAACAACCACATCCTATTAAACCCTCCATAAATGTGTTTTGGTGTTTCCCCCCCCCACCCCCACTATTCCCTTCCCCCATTCCTGGTCACCTGTAAATCTTTACAGGAGCAGAGAGCCTCATTATTTCCCCATTGAGCAGCTGGTGGGTTTGAACCACTGACCTTGCAGTTATCAGCCCAATGACTAAGCCATAAATCCACCAAGGATTAGAAAAGAAAAGTAAATTCACACAATTTGGCCTTTATGATGTACCTTTTCAAATGTCTTCCAGTCATAGTCTATAATTCCTGTAAGCACATTCTTAAGTTCTTCAGGATGGAAAACGTCAATGATTTCCTTTGTACACACTCTGTAAAATCCCCTCTGAAATGCTTCATATACTTCCTTTACAGCGACGTTAAATATGTAATCGACATACTTTGAAACATATTCTCTCCTTTATGGAAACAAAAACATATTTCAACATACAATAATACTCCTGGATGAAACGTGAGGTGGGGGAGCAGGGAGTGACATGTAAAAATGGGAATGTCTATTACAAGTTCTCACAGTCATTTTTCATATCTGATCTAACTGAATCTCCACAACAGGCTGAAAAAATGTTTATACTATGCACAGTTCAGTAAACCGGAAATGAA